ATATCAAACAAGTGTCCCGACCGGGGCAGTGCAAAGAGATGGACGAAGGGGATTACAATCCTCGCCCACCCACCCCCTCCCCGTCGCCAAATGAAGAAGGCGTTACAAAATTATCAAGTTTTCATAGGCGTATATCATATATCATTTGCTGATGTAACAAAAGTGTGCGCCATAGTCATGCTCCGCACAGGGTGTAGCTAGTCATGCTCCGCACAGGGTGTAGCTAGTCATGCTCCGCACAGGGTGTAGCTAGTCATGCTCCGCACAGGGTGTAGCTAGTCATGCTCCGCACAGGGTGTAGCTTATCCTTGCCATGGAGGACCGGGTACAGACTAACTTTTATGAGGATGCCAATAGTTTGAAACTACCGATGATGTTAAACACGTGGTCATCTGGTAGGCCTACTCGTACTATTTTCCGAAAATAAAAGAGACAATTAAACTCTATATGAAATTCCCAAATTGAACCCACGATATACATTTCAAAATTAATATTATAAATGCGAATCAAAGTTGGACAGTTTTAAGACCTTTAAAGGAGAATAACTCTCGTCAACAAGTTTTACTTTTCCCAGATATGATTCTGTGAATTGAAAAAAATAAGGTAAGAATCAGCTTCGCAGTACAATGGGACAATAACGATTGAACTGGCTTTCACTAATGTCCATGTAAAACCACATCCTTCAGACCATTGACTTTTAAACAATGGTAAAACAATTCTCTGCAAAAAAGTTACGCAAACGATTATGTTGATTTATATTAAATAATTTATTCTACACATCAATTCTATCTGTCAATAATGAATTATGATAATTTATCATCCTCTGTGATTATTATAGTTTATTTCTGATAATGTTTTAAAACTATTATTGATTTTGAATGATTTTTGTATAAAAAAATTGAATTCATCGAAGTTTAACGTTATTGAATGTTTATTTTTATTTTACATTTTTATACCTTTTGGTGTGTTTGTGGGGAGCAGGAACTGCCCCCCCCCCCAACTGTTTGAGCATGGGGCGAGTGCCCCCTTCGCCCCCTTTTCACGGCTCAGGTATGTTGTGTTACTGGGCCCCCCAGTGCATTGCTGTACCCAGGGCCTCCTATGTTGTTAAGAAAGACATCCCTGATCAGATCCCCAAAAATACACACGAGCGAGTCATCTGAAAATAGATCGTTTATCTATGGAATATATCCTATAAGTTAAAGAAGTGCAAACAGGAAGTTGTGTAATGCTGAAAACTAACCATCCCAAATGAACTAGGGGATTCCCCTAACATCTTAAGCAATAATTCCCGATTGGATCTTGTTCGCTCCAAGGGCGGTTAGCAATAAAACATTTGTAACAGTAGTTGAATTATATTCAGTCCCTTGAAATTTGCAACAAGAGTTGGAAAAGAGACTTGAGGTTGCTACACATTTCGTACGCTTATCGATTTAGGGTTTTCAGGTTGCTTTGAACTTTGACTTACGGCATTGATTTAGGACGGTTATTGGAAGGGATCTGAACAGTCACTGGCAAGTCACGGGTGTGATGGAGGGTTTTCCATTAAGGGGCAATTTTTGATATTCGCTAATTGTTCAACAAAAACTGGATCTGATGTGGCTGATTTCGTCAATGAGAAAATTCCATTTGCGGATTGCAGAGGTCAGAGATATGACAAGTGTGCAAACATGGCTGGAGAGTATAAAGGAGTTAAAGCAATTCTTCTCAAGCAAAATCCACTGCCTGTCTTCTCACCATGTGGATGTCATTCATTTAATTTACATTTGGAATGTATGCAGCGTCAAGCTGTACAGATGTGAGACATTTTTTGAAGCTTTCCAAACTGTAATGACTATAATTTCAGTCAAGTCCACAGCAGTGGGGATGTATTAAAGCAGATTTTTGGTGGTGCTTTTGCTCCATGGTCTTACTTGGACTCGCTGGACTGAAAACTTGATTTTGTTCCAACTTTCTCCAGTCACTTGTCTGAGATAATTAAGCTCTCAAGGAAATTTTGCATACTACATGACATCATTTATATGTTTATAATCATGACAAGGGTTTGGGTGAAAGTACTAACCCTGATTAACCTCTGAGACCAGGTTCTTCAAGCCCGGAAAGCTAATATTGACACGGAAGTAACCAATCTGAATTCATTGATACGTGAACTGAAATCTGTTTGGGATGAGTGGCCAAAATTTCTGAATTTAGCTGAATCAGCAAACAAGATGAAGTCAATTTCAGAAGAAATTTTTGTAAAAACCTATTATTGATTCTGTTATTGCTGGACTCACAGCTCGCATTTTTTAAAAATTGCAATTCAGGATATAGCAGCTATGCTCAGCTATTTGTGGAATTATTCTATCATGTCTGAAGCTGAGCTGGAAGTTCATTCACTGTCTTTTGTCTTTTCCAGGATATATTCTTCTGATGTTTCTGTGACTGGTCTGGAAGGAAAAAAATCTTGCATTTAAAGCAAATTCATCAGAGAGGTCATTTAGCAAAGTTAAACTAATCAAATATTTGATTTTTATCAACTATTGTTCAAGAGAGGACCAGTGACCTGTCCGTTGATTTTTATCAACTATTTTTCAAGAGAGAGCCAGTGACCTGGCCGTATTGAGTCTCTTTGGGTGCCTGAGCTCGATTGTTCAAATATCATTGATGAGTTTACAAAACAAGTGGCAAGAAGATCACTTTTGATGTGTTTCAAATAATAAAACATATTCCTTTGTCTCATGTTCACAAAATGTTTGAAACAATTATTTTGAAATTTTGGGGGCCAAAAATTTTGAGTTTTACTCTGGGGCCCAAAGATCTACTGCACAGCACTGCTTTTAATGGTCAGAACAGCGTTGATGATGGGTCATTGGGCCTAAAAAATACCATCTGCTGAAAACAACCTGTTTGAGTGGTTGCAAACAGACAAAAAGAGAAAATGATGTTATTATAATTATAAGCGCTTAATGAGTTAGACTAGATAATTATGAAGTCAACTGGTTCCATAATAAATTTAATCAGATAATATGCGCTGTTGCTTAAGAGGAATATTTGTCGTATTAACATGAAGATAAAAAAAAAAAAAACTAGCAATAATTTACTAAGAAAATTTTTGAATAAATTCTGCAATATAAAAATAAAATTAACTCCAGTCAGATTCTAATGAATTGTTACAAAATAAAATTTTGGAAGTTTGTAAAAATTTAAAATTTTGTTCTTCCTCTGCCGATTTCTGTATGGGATTGTAAACATTTACAATGATCCATATTTATTTTATATTTTATTTGAGGATGGTGGTGGTGGGGATTAACAATTCAACTAAAATGTAACAAATTTGCAATCTTAACAATTCACCACAATCATCACTCATAACATTTTCTTTTCATCAACCGGAGCGAAACAAACTGTGCATATTGGCTTATCGGATCTGCTTGACTTCACAGAATTGTAAAGAAACACCATGATTGACTCACTGGATGTTGCCTATTTTGGGGGGAAAAAAGCAGTGCTAAATGTGTTTGCCCTTCAAGGACAACATCTGGTCGTTGAACAACTAAATGATCGCCATATTTGACATTGGGATGACTGCAATAAATAAAATATGGCACAAGCTCTCAGTGATTTGACCAGTCTGGACGCCAAGTGCTGAGAAAAAAAAAGATGATTTGGAATGTTTACTGTTTCACTCTGAAGTTTGTTTTGCTACAAAAAGAAAGTACATTACTGAAATTTACAAATTATTTTAATTTTTGTGTATATGGAATCCAGTTTATTTTTCAAATCATTTAATAAAATTAAGCCTGTGTCCAAAAAAAGGAAGAAAACAGAATACAATTTAATTTTTATTGCTTTTGAAAAGACAAAAACTTTATAATACTAACATAAGCCAAACTTACATTTTTGTTATGATATCACAGTTTAAATTATCAACACACCTATATTTACATTTACATTATCAATACACCTCATATTAACACTATAAAATGAGTAAAACAGAGTAGGGTTAAACCTGAAAAAATAAACGCAACAAAACAGCGAACATGTCGGCAGAAAGCCTTCGTCAGCGAACAAAACAACAGAAAAAAAACGGTATAAAAATAAAAATAAGAAATAGCACTTAGCTGGTAAGTCGTATCAATGCTCCCCCCTCCCACTTTGGGACCAAGCCGTGTGGACGCAGTCGTTGCAACACGTGCCCTTTTGTCGTCCAGACTCAACACATACGTTTCCCCAAGGGCAGTTTTCAGATACATGACGGTTTCCTCTGTACAAGCCGCAACGTTATTTACGCCATTGTCTGCACCCGCTGTCAGATGACATACATAGGGGAGACTGGACGCTGTCTCTCAGACAGGTGTACCGAACACCTCCGAAACATTACACAAGATAAACAGTGTCCCGTCTCAAAACACTTCAATAGTAGCGACCACCAGGGCAAGGCGGACTTTTCAATAAGTGCGATTGTGACTAGCACGAACACCGCCAGCCAGGTCAATTTGGAACACAGACTTATCCTGACTTAAGGCACTTTGACGCCAGATGGGATTAATGTTATGTCTCTGTTCACAGCTTGACCCTAGCTCCGCCCCTCCACGTTCTGACCTATCACAGTGAACATTTTTCTCCCCCTTTTTTTCGCCGCTGCATATTTAAACTCTCACTCATTTTCCTTCTGCCACACTTCTATTGCTGCCCACAGATACTACTTACCAGCTAAGTGCTATTTCTTATTTTTATAACGTTTTTTCTGTTGTTTTGTTCGCTGACGAAGGCTTTCTGCCGACACGTTCGCTGTTTTGTTGCGTTTATTTTTTCAGGTTTAACCCTACTCTGTTTTACTCATTTTATTTTGTACTAACCTGATTGCAGTCTCTCCCCTTATTACCCCTCATATTAACACTACATTGTCAACACACCTCATATTAACACTACATTGTCAACACACCTCATATCAACATTACATTATCAATACACCTCATATTAACACTACATTGTCAACACACCTCATATTAACATTACATTATCAACACACCTCATATTAACATTACATTATCAATACACCTCATATTAACACTACATTATCAACACACCTCATATTAACATTACATTATCAACACACCTCATATTAACTAACATTACATTATCAACACACCTCATATTAACATTACATTATCAATACACCTCATATTAACACTACATTGTCAACACACCTCATATCAACATTACATTATCAACACACTTCATATTAACTTTTGACTTTACATATACTTCTTTCTAAACAGATAATACAACAATTCTCTATTTGACAATAAGTGGGGCCAAATTTAGAACTGGAATTCAAGATTTCCTGTGCATGTAACCCAAGAAGTAATCACTCATGTAATTTATATTGACCACGTATTCTTGGTTACACTAAAATTTAAATCATTCATTAAGGAGAAAGTCTGTATAAATTGTGAATATATTATGTGGACAGTCAGTCACAGTCTTACATCAATCATCTCAACATTAATTTAAATGATCCGTTAAACAAACCCTTAATATTATAATCAACAACCTAACAGACTACCAGATGAAATGATTTATGATGAAATTTGTAATAAGTGATTTTTCAAAGCTTTCATGAAATGCCAAGATTTACACAGTAACTCATATAATACCGGTCAGAGGTCCTCATGACTCCACAAATATTCAGTTAATATAGGTCAGAGGTCACCATAATCATGGTTATACAGTAAACCATGTATAAAAGACAGAGGTCACTGATTCAAGGTTTAAGTGCAGTGACTCAATTAGTTTTGACGACTACTCCGATCACAATAACAATAACTAAAATTATAGTCTGTATGTTGATGAACTCTTAATATTGAAGACTCCAGATACTGCCATAAAAAATGAGTTTGACTAACTGTTATACTTGTGTAAGGTACAACCTATGAAGTCCACACAATACTGCTATTCTCCTGTTTACAAAAATACAAAAGAGAAAAATACTATAAACTTTCCACTTTCTCGCCAGAATTTGTTATAAATTGCCTAAGCAAATAATCAGCTGCTAGACCAGGTGTCACATGACCTTTGACAACGAGCTCTTCCATCATTGGCATCAGGCTCTTAACAGTCGAATGCTTCTCAAACCGTCCCATGATATGGTCTCGTATGTGGTTCCAAAGCCAAAGTTTTAACTGTCTTTCCCTGCGGCTAATCAGCTCTCCAGCAGCAAAAGAACTGCGCTGAAAGTCTTGTAATGTGTTCCACAACTCCGGAATGCCATTTTTTTCCAGGGATGAAATGCAAGTTACCTGATGTGGTAAGAGAAAGGAAAATAAACCAGTCATCTGTAATGCAAGTTACCTGATGTGGTAAGAGTGAGAAAAATAAATCAGTCACCAATATTAAGATGAGAATTTGAAAACATAATAGTTAAAAGAAATATGTTATAATTGCTCATTAGCCTGTACCATAAATTATCCAAAAAGTCCTAAGGTTCCCACCACTAACTTGAGTAAAAGGTCCCATTAGTCTCACAATTGCCTTTAGTAAACTGGTCCCAGAGGTCCCACTATTGCTTTTAGTAGACTGGTCCCACCATTGCTTTTAATAAACTGGTCTCAAAGGTATCACCACTGCTTTTAGAAAACTGGACCCATAAGTCCTGCCATTGCCTTCAGTATACAGGTCATTTGTTCTCACTATTGTCTTCAGTCGCATTTTTGACATAAAAGATTTTTTTTTCTTCTACATTTTGACTTTTAAAAAACTTTTGACTTAATCAAAACTTAAATGATTTTACTAATTTCTAAACTGATTAAGTTAAAAAACGTTAACCAGCAAAAATTAGCTAGAGTTGAAAATCAAAATACCTTTGGTCTCCACACTCTTGAGCGAGGTCTCATAAACTTCAGGGCACTTGTGTATTCTGCTTGTATTCTTCTAGCTGCAGGCATCAAATCACCATCACATTTATTGATGATCACTACATCTGCCACCTCTACTATGCCTTTCTTGATGCCTTCAAACAATTATTTTTGTTTCATTTAATTGGCATTTTTAAAAATGAAAACAAATTTAAAAAATAGAAGCTGATCTTGCTTCTATATTTTAACCCTTTCTGTCGCATTATGGCTTTCCGTATCTTATGCGTTTTGGACGAATCCTGCTGTAAACAGCACACCTTTTTGAACTATTCCAAGTCAATAAACTCTTCTAATTAAGGAGTTACAAAGAGCCTATTTATAAACAGGAAGTGTCAAGTTCTTTTTTTTGGGGGGGGCTTGGTAGCTGTGGGTTTTATTTTTCAGCTATTTTTTTTTTTTTGAAATAGTGCTTTGGTGACAGTAGATCTAAGCTTAATGGCACATGACCTTTCTAGAATTGTTTCAAATTGCAAGTGTGTCCGCCGTTAGTGACGACAGTAATGAATTCGATGCAGAAATGAATGCAAAAATAGATAATGGAAATAAAGAAATGTGATATTGAATTAGTTTAATATCTTAATATTCCAGATGGATCAGAATATGAAGATGATTATGTTTAATTAACATTGAAGGATATCTAGTTGTAGCTGTCCTAATGTTACCTGTTAATATCATATGCAAATATTTGATTCTTCTGTAATTGAATATGTCTACAATTTCCTGTCACAACATCCTGTCCCTTCACACATCTACAAGCTGAGTTTGCGTTGTGTCTGTATTTTGGCTTATGAAGGCTTACTGGTCGATTGGTTTGATTGTCCTTTAGGCTTTAGGTTTTCCTCTATCCTGTGTACATTTCTTATTGTCATAATGTAGACTTATTTTAATTAAAATTTTGTTTTTTCTCTACAATAATCAGTATTTTTGTTTTTCTGACTGGATGAAAGATTGATTTTTTATAATTTTTTAAAATTCAAAAGCTTATTGTAAAAATGGAGTTATTTCCCTTTGCTTGGTATCTTAACGGGCGATATGCAACTCAAAGGGTTAATAGGATTCAATGATTACAAGCGCTACATTTTAATGTACTGGCCTGGGCATAAAAAGCAATGCTGAACACTGCATACAGCGCTCTTAGAATAGACGACTTATTATCCCTGACGACATATAAAAGTAAGTGAACTTCTTGTCAAGGGATCCATTAGCTTAAAGGCATCAAAACTGGATAAGGTGAAATGATTTCTTATGGAATGAATTTGGTTAAGTACCTTGTAATTCATCTCCACCAGCAGGTGGCAGGAGAAGACAAAAAATATCCACCATGTCAGCCACTGCAAACTCAGACTGACCAACTCCTGCAAAAATGAGATTTATTTTTTTTTGTAAATAAATATTGAATGTTTCAGGATGTTTTCAAAATAAATAGTGATTATGTGACAATATTTAGTAAAGTTCAAAGAAACTATCAGATTTTTTATTAATATTTCTTTGGTTCTCATTTTTTAGTCAGGAATCAAATTACTCAGAAATGTTCTCAATTGACACTTTAAAATACTGTCTCTGGTGTACAAAAAAAATTATGTCAAAGCTGGTACCTCATTGGTGTACAGATATATAAAAGCAACAAAAAAATCTAAGTTATTTTTAGAATATAGCAAGAAGACACTTTTCAGCTAAAAATATTTGTAAAGAAAATGACAAAGTCAAAAATGAAAATTAAATATAAATTGTTACCAACAGTTTCCACAAGAATAATATCATATCCTCCACCCTCACAGAGGACAATGGCTTCATTAGTGGTTCTTGTGACACCTCCGAGAGTACCACTGGATGGAGAAGGACGGATATATGCAGACAAGTCACGTGACAGCTCAGGCATTCTTGTCTTATCTCCTAATAAAGATCCTGCGGGAAAATAAATAATATCAAGGATTGGGTTAAATATATTTAAAATGAAGAGCATGTACACATGCAACACAAATATAACTTGATAAGAAGTAAAGTGTCACTCCTCTCACACAGAGCCCCTCCTCAATAATCACCTCTTGAACATTTCCCGCACTGATCCAAGTGAGCATGAAATTAATTAATTTTTTAAAAGACGGGGATTATTTCTAGGAGAAGTCAACATTAATGAAATATAAAATATGAGAGTGACCTAGGAAAGATAAGTATAAGCCATCATGATAAATATTTAAACCAGGAAGATTAACTTAATCAAATTTTTTAACCTCCACTCGTTGAAGATGATGGATCAACTGCAAGAACGGCTACTCTGTGCCCTTTCCCTGTGAGATATTTACCAAAAACCTCAATAAAAGTGCTTTTTCCTGAGCCAGGGGGTCCAGACAAACCTAAGACAACAAATTTTTTTTAAAAAACTTAAATAATCATTAATAAAAGCTGTGTAAAAAAAAACTATTTCAAATTTATTACATAAAAAAACAATTTGTCTTTTTAAAATATAATTTGTAAAAATATAGTCACAATATTTGTATTGGATCTATTTTTATTCTTACCTATTCTGAAAGACTGTGGTGCTTTAATTGAATGTTGATTTTCTTCTTTTAAATGTTTCAAAACTTTAGTCAATAAAAATTGTGACTTCTTCTGCTTCTGGGGATGTGTTGATTCCACAAGAGTGATGGCTTTTGCAAGACTTGCTCTATCTTTGGTTATCAGCATTTTAAAAAGTTCACTGATGTCTTGGAAGTTTTCAGTGTTTCCCAACATTTTCTCAAATAAAGGCAACTGATAATTTACATTTTTTTTATTTGACACTTCATCCTCTTTAGCATAAGTAAATGAGCTTTCATGTTTCATCACATTGGAAAATTTTTGGCTTTTATTATGTATAAAATTATTGTGACATAAAAAACTAGAGGCGTTTTGACTTATCCATGTATTAGGTTTTACATATCTACTGGATAAGACACTTTTTGTACACTTTCTAAGTATTGAGAAAGCTATAAAAATGTTTGGACATGTCATTCTAACATTCATGTCAACTAACTAAATATGAATTTGATTTGAACTTGGTAATGAAATTTGTCCATTTGTGAACTGAGGTTGATTTACCCTCTTTTAACAGCAGTGTGAGAAGCGTCTAATCTGGTGTGTTGCTTTCTCTTGTCAACTGTAATCAAATAATTTTTTTTTTTAAAGCAATGTTGCTGTGGCATTGGCATATTTAGTATTTAGATTATATTTTATATCTTACTGGCTTACTGTGACTGTAATTGTATATTGTATTTTAATTCACTATCTAAGCTATCTATCAATACACACTGTAAAACACAGTCCTAACTTAAAAAACACTAAGAATGTTAGAAATTATCGACTTCTCTAACGTGCAAAGCTGGGTTTTGGGTGGCCACTGTTGATAGTTTTATAAGTAAAAGACTATGACTATGCATCCTGCAAAAATAAATGTTGAAATTGAGAAGGAAATGAAGGTGGCTGAGACTGTCAAATCAACACCTTTACCTTATATATTAATTTATATTTTATATCATTCACCCACCCTTAGTCGCCTAAAGCCTAAAGTATTATTTTATTTATCTTGAATATGTGCTTTATTTGTACCAAACACTTTACTTGAAATAGTTATTGGCTATTTGTGATTTCGCAGATGGAATCTCAGCTCTCACACTCGCATCACGACATTTTAGTTTTTATTTTACTTTCGTCCAGTTCTCATTAATTAATAAATAATACTAAAATACATTGAACAATCCGAAAGACAAAAGTGTAGGTCATATTATCTATTATTAAAAAAATACGATTAAGGCTTTAAATAAGTTAAAATAAACTTCAAAATATTTTTTATTTATTTCTAATTATAAGAATTAGACCGAGGGAAAAAAAAAAAGTTATTTCATTCGTTGATTTTATTTAAAAAAGCAAGTACATAATACTGATAAATATGTCTGAAAATCTCGATAATTTTATGCATGACCCACATCAAATGTTTTCTCAAACGCGTGTTATCTGTGGAACGGCCTGTCGTACAGCTGTCCTCACAATAAGGAATTATTCAATACAAAAGAAAATGGTTGGAAAGTTTTATCTCCGCTTTTATTATTAATAATTAAGTAAACTTTTTTTCTTCTCTTCAATCTTGAGAAAACAAAGGTCAACTAATTAAAAATTTGCAGTGGTTATAAGTATAAGTTATAGTCAGCTGGGAATAATTTGATAATAATAATAATACTATATTACTCTATACTATTTTATTAATACTATGATACTAGCAGTGTAGTCAGTAGTCAACCATTTGCCATTTATTATCGGCTGAGGGTTATATTCAGTCTTATTATACACAGTTGGCTGGGAATAACTTTTGACTTGGAGCGTTATTCCCGGCCGACCGTTTATAACACCTTCCTTGCTTTAAAAAATTATTAAGTGGCACCAAGTGCATTTTTTTTTATATATTAAAGAGGGTAAATCAACCTCAATTCATAAATGGAGAAATTTTATTACCAAGTTCTAATCGAATAGAAAAAAACTAATCAGGCTTTGGAGCCGTAACCAATCTGTATGGCGTACAATTTTTACAAGTTACCCACACGCTATGTCATAGTCTAAATAAACTAAATTATTAATTTTAATTAGCCTTATGAATGATGATGATGACATTTGATGTTTGTTTACTTTTAGCGCTTGTCTCTAGCTATTTTAGCATGCTCACAGTGCTCTGATATCCTAAAATTTATTTAAAGAAAAAAAGTCTTTTAATGGTTCTTAAATACTTATACTTATAGACTTAATGAAAAGGCCATCTTAAGTCTTAATCCAAATTTTTCTTCATTTCCATTACATTTTGAATTTCTTTTTTTTTCCAGTCATCTAGCCCTAAAAGAACCAAGCTTACTGAGGAGGAGAGGAGCTCAACTCTGTCATCATTAAAAGAACTTGGCTGGACCTTAGTAGAAGGACGGGATGCAATTTACAAAGAGTTTATATTCAAAGATTTCAATCAGGTAAATAAAATTAATGGTCGATAAAAATAAAATCTCCATACTTTCATATTTTGGAAAGTTACAATTTTTTAACTCTCATACATACATACACAACTTTTAGTTGACCTGTTAGTGACATTAACTTTTCCCCTTGACTAAAACTATTTGCTTTTTTCATTTAGGCCTTTGGTTTTATGACACGTGTTGCACTTAAGGCAGACAAAATGGATCATCATCCAGAGTGGTTTAATGTATATAACAAGGTAATAGTTATGTTATATTTTGCATCTTTACAATTTTTTTTTTACAGGTAAGAATTTTTTTTTAATGTGTTGAATCAACTTGCTATTAGAAATAAATATTTGCTGAGATCATATTTGGAAAAACTCTATGCCTGAATGCCATAGAGTTTTTCCAAAAAAAAATTATTCTTACAATTAAAATGCTCTTTAATGAACATTAAAAGGTTTAAGTTAATTCAATTCTTGAAGTCTTTGTTAAGCTTCTACTTCTATTGTGCTAGAGAATTACCTGATTAAAATGAACAAATTAAAGTTTTAAAGTGATTAAGTTATAGGCTAAATGTATCTGTTAACATTACATCAACAGTCATGCCTTTATTTCACATTTCTTTACACAATTTCAGGTTCAGATAACCTTAAGCACTCATGATGTTGGAGGTCTATCCCACAGAGATGTAATCTTAGCAACTTTCATTGAACAGGCAGCTACATAAATATGTACTGCTGGAGATGAAAGATGTGACTTATTAAAAAAGAATGTACTATTTTTGTGCAAATTTTGTAACAATAGCTTTTTTAGTCATGAATTATTTACTATGTTATTGGATAAGTTATTAAAGAAGTACAGTTTGTATGCATTTATTTAAATTCATTTGTGATATTTTTCAATTATTATATTTCCATGAAATCTGTAAAAGAAACCTAATCAGTTCAAAATACATTTCTGTACCATCTTGTTAAATTGTTAGATTTTTATTTATTTTTTTAAATATCTTAAATCTTATTTGAATATTTTTAGTATTATTTAAGGTTGTCATCTTTTTATTTAACTTTGATAGAACATATTTCAATATAATGTCAGCATCATTTGACCCTAGATTTCTGTTCTTTAATGAGAAAATAATTTCTTTTGATTCCAATTATAAATTCTAATTACATCAATGTACAACAAAACAACAAATTGTAATGAAATTATTTATTAAATTTCTAATTATTAACAATAAATACACACATAAATGATCAGAATAAATGAATAATTAATTATTTATTATAAGAACAATATAATAAAGTATAAAGGCATTCGGGTGTTGAAATTGAAGAAGAAACCAATGCTTGTAGTTTCAACTGATCTTTTGAAGCTTATGCTCTATAATTCTGTGAAAAAAGAAACATTATGACACCACATTAATTTTTTCAAAGTTTTAAATAAAATATCTTCGTTCTTAAAATCTTTCATTATTTATTGAGTCTTCAACACATGCACAAATTAATATAAATTATTGAACTATAATTCAAACAAGATGTATGATATTTTTTATGGCAACATCGAACTGCAAACCAATATATTTTTAAAATATTCTAGTCATTCTTCACTTACTCTAACTGCTTCAAATACTGGCTTCGTTGATGCCTCAATATAATTAAGATAGAATCATCTTCAAATTCACAATCAGACGCATTATCCTCATCATTCACTTTTAACAGTCATGAAATGGACAAAAAGAAAGATATTTATTTAAATATCAGCAAGGTAATTTGGAATCCCACTTCACCACCATCTTCAAATTCATTTACAGTACAGCCGTCTGATCCACCCAGAATTTTTTTAATTCAGTTTGCAGTTACAGAGCATTAACCTTTGAACAATAATTTTTAAGACTGTAATGCTATATCTTCAGGAGATTCATGCCAGCAGCTTAAGCCGTTATATGTGCCTACATAAATGTGTAAAATATAAATTAAAATATTAAGAGTGTTCTACTTAAAGTCTATCATTTATTAATATTACTCTCTGATGTTATTTTAAAAAATCTAAGCTTGGCACAAAATAAAAATAATCTACCCAAAAGAAAAATATGTTGCATCCTCCAAGCAACAAACATTTTCCCTGTCATCACTTTTAATAAATTAATATGAATACAAATTTAATTGTACATCCCTAGCATATTAATTAAATTTTGTTTTAAGATCATTTTTATTATTTATGTGGTAATTTAACATGATTTTCATAACAAATTCAAAATAATTTTAATAATTAAAAAAGAGATAAAGAAACAATTTAAGTGTTATTTATCACTTTATGGAATATTGAACTTAAAAATAAGTTAGTTGGAAGGTTAAACTAATTTAAAAATGAAGCTGATCAAAATAACAGTATCACTTTCTGAAAAAATACAAAGAGGCTTGAAATCATATTTAGATATTTTTAAAAGTTTTTTAATTATCCCACAAACAATTAGAAAAACATGGTTGCTTTATTTAAACTAATGGTGGATAATGGTATTTGAATTATCTGTTATTTAAATTTACCAATTATTTGAGATGCTGTCTTGCCAAGTGGGGTGCTCTGTAATGGGGTTGGACCTTTGAGAGGTTGCTGACCTCTGACTGGGGATGGTGTTCTAAGATTACTATCAAACAGTGAGTGAGATGCAGCTGGAGATTGTGGAAACATGGATGCCCAGCTGTCAACACTGGACATAACGGTTGATCCGTCAAAGATGTGATCAACAATTGTCTGGAAAAAACAACAATGAGCTGTATAATAGGGTCTATAGCTAGGGGTTTATATTATTGATCAAATTTTATTTGAATAGTGTAGAAAGCGACAAAAAAAACAACTAATTGTACCAGGGATTTAAAACATACATTTCATTGTATTTAAAAAAATAAGTTAACCCAACAAGTAAGAGACCATGCAAATATTATATATCGGATAATGCGAATGGGGTAGGGGTGGTTTATTATTTGTTATAGGGGGTGATAGAGAGAAATGTTATACAGCATATATATATATTATTTTTTTAAAATTAATTATAATTTTTGATTTACAAAATTAACCTAGGTTATTAAAAATTAATCTTTAACACATTTTTATAAATCATAATTTATGGCTTTTTGCTTGAAATTTGCTTGTTTTTTTACTTCATTCCTTTTTTTTCTTTGCCTGGCAACCATATCAGTAACAGTAACAGTAGTATTAACAGATTAATTGTTTTTAATAAAATGCTAAAAACTAAATTTTTGATGTACCATTGTTTTTATTCTGTGGAGGGGTTGTGAGGTGTTTTAAAATGTTATATAAAAATTAGAGGGGTGGTCAATGAAAATGTTATATAACATCGTAATTTAAGGCTTTTTGCTTGCTTTTTTTTACTTTATTCTTTTTTTTTTTTTTTTTTTTACCTGGAAAAAATTTCTTTTACAGTAGTATTAAAAGATTAATTGTTTAATAAAATGTTGAAAACTAATTTTTTGGTGTACAATTGTTTTTTTCTGTGTTTTTTTGTTTTTTTTTTGTTTTTTTTTTTTTTTTTTTTTTTTTTTTTTTTTTTTTACCTGGAAATCATTTCATTAACAGTAGTATTAACAGATTAATTGTTTAATAAAATGTTGAAAACTAAATTTTTGGTGTACCATTGTTTTATTCTGTGGAGGGGGTTTGGGGGGTAATTTAAAAATGTTATATAACACTAGAGGGGTGGTCAATGAAAATGTTATATAACATTATAAGGGGTATGATAGTGGGCATAAAAAATATATCATAATTTTGTGCTATATGCATAAAAAATATATCATAATTTTGTGTTATATAATATGTGCAAGGCCCCTAACTAAATTTTCAGTGTTAGATACTGTACCTGTCCAATAGCTGCGTTTACAGCATTTTTTGAATATGAAGGTAATAAACTTGCAGAACCAGGCTCCCCTGTACTGTTATACTTCTTGGCATCATTGATCCTCCTGCTTGAAACACTTCTGGCATAAAGCTGTGGCTCTGGCCTCTTACGTTGATGAGAGTGTTGATGGCTCTCTGAAAGAGGCAATTCCCCTTGAAAAACTGTTTCACCAGAATCAGATATTTCATTTTCTTTTTGAAGCATTTCAGTTTGTTTTTTCTTCTTTTTTAATGTAATTAGTTCACCTTCAGTTTCATGTCTAATCCTCTGACAATTAACTGGCTCTTTCCTAGAATATGACTTTGTATTGAAATCCTCACCTTTGTCAGAATGCTGTTTTTTGTTTTTACCCTTTTGCCTCTTTAATAGAGATTTGCTCTCAGAGTCATCACTTTCAGCAATAGGTTTTTCAGCCTCCAGAAACTGGTGATAAATATTTCTGTTGATTTGTTCAGCATCAAGTTTCTTTTTCTGTTCAGTTTTTGTACCTTCAAATTGCTTTTCATCTCTATGTGCATCTGTATTGCTTTTTGTGAGATTGGTGGAATCTCTCAGTGAATGGATTTTCCCCCCAGGATCTTTTAAATGGGGATCACAATTCACTCCATCCAACAAGGGGTTAATGTCCTGCATTTCTAATTTTTTTTCCACTTTTCCAAAGTTATTCACTATGGTGTCTCCATCATCTGTAATTAATCCATGGCTAGATTTTTCACTTGGTCTAAGAACATACACTTTACTTGCTGGGTTGCAAACCTCTTGACTTGCAAAATGATCCACAGAAATTTTTGTATCAATTTCACTGTTGCCATTTGCATTGTCTTCCTGAGACCTACCAGAAGATGCTGTGTTGTTTATATTGAGTCCTGGGGCATATGTTTGGTCTGCCGGGTTTTCTGAATGACTATTACTGGCATTATTAAAATTTGTATCTGAAACAAGCTTGGTGTTGTTTGTTCTAGGAGAGAAAACTGGATTAAGCCGAGGAGATGACTTTGCAATCAGTTCTTCATTGCTAGTAATTCTACTCATCCTGACCAAAATAGGATCTATGGCAGGCTCAGAAATTTCTTTTATTTGAATACCCTGAAAAAAGATATGTTAAATATTTCAGTATGTATAAAACTGTGGCATGCATAAACAAACAACATGTTCACTAACTGATAAATAATTCACATCCAAGGATTCAATTTTTAGTTATTTCCTTCCATTTTATTATAAAAAAAAAAGCTTTCCATTTAACACAATGTATTGGAAATAATAACTTTTTTTTGTTTTCCTTCTTCATCGTCATCAAGTAGCATAGCCATTCTCTGTCTCTCGTACTGTATATCTTCAGTAGTCACCAAGGCTCTTTGGGTTAGAAGTTTCTTGCGGAACTCTTCCAGTCTTGGATCAATGTCAATGTTCTGTTAGGATCATATTGGAAAAGAGGAATTCAAAGCTTCTTAATTTGTTTTTTAATTTGTTGACAAAATTTTTGTCATAGTTGTCAGTGATTTCAGATATACAACTGATTAAGATTAATATATGTTTTTTTAATTATAGGTATACTTTTAAGATATTTTCATTATTTTAAACTGTAACAAGATTTCTAATGAACTAATTTTACTTTTTTTTAAAAAAGCATTTTCAATTTTGGCATCTGATTTAAATAATTTTTCAAAATGTAAATATGCATTTCTTGTTTACAAGTTAATGAAGGATAATAGAAAGTTGCAAAACTTACTTTTTGAGGGAAAACATTGTGTCCCAGAGATCTGCCTTGAGCAGCTGACTCTAGAGTAGTTTTCTCCATTTTCCGATTAAGTCGCCAGCGTGCTAAGATATCATCTGCTGGAGTGCTGGGTTGTTTTACATTATCACTATGAGAATTCCCATCTCTTCTTACCTCTGCCCTTGGTGCTGGCCAACTGTAGACTCCTAAGTGGTAATAGATCAATAGATAATTTTATTTAGAAAATGCCACACTTGCACACTTTTAAAAAAAGAAAAATTTGAATTTAAATTATAAATTATAACAATTACATTGAAGAAAATGAGTTTGGGAAAAAGCATATTTAGTTATGATAATAAATTATTATATAATGATTATAACTTTAATGCAATTTTCTCTTAACAATGACATAGAGGGAGCTTTTGATGATACTCCTGCAATTTAAATTATACCAACTATATTTAAGAAAATGAGTTTGGGAAAAGCATATAAATTTATAATAATAAATTACATAAATATTATTACTTTATTATGATTTTCTCTTAACAATGAAATAGAGGAAACTTTTGAAAATTTAGCAGCAGTCGGTAGAGTAAAACTAAATAATTGTGGTTAAAATATTATCTGTATAAATTGACACAAATACATATGTAACTGACCTAGTATTAGATGCATAGAAACGTAACACGCTGAAGATTGCTTTGACTCCACTTCATTTATTTTTTATTGAAATCGTAGAATTTTTTAACAATGATCCTGTCAGTTTTTAGTCATACAAGGGGGGTAGGGGGTGGGGGATGGCGCTAGTTTAAAGGTTTAAATATTTATTATGACTTCTTTACCATGAGTGAAAATCTGAGAGTTCTGCTTAATAAACACACAGAAATTTTCTTCTGCAATCAAAAGAGATTCCAAATAAATTTAACATCACTCATCTCACTCTTTCAAGCTCAGTTTTCTTTTTTCACCAGCTTTAACTTACCTTGGTCTCTGGCAAAGGCAGGCCTGTAAGCTGGCTGACTCTCTGTGATACTCAGGTCACTCACTGAAGCAGAGGATCCTAAACCTTCAGTGCTCACAAGAGGACCAGAAGATGCTAAACTTAGTTCACTGGATTTTAATAAAAGAAGAGAAACGTAACCAAATTTTATAAAAATTATATTATAATAATAATAATAGAGTTCAGTTCAAAAACATGCTTTATCCCCAATAAAGGCTCGAAGTGCAATAAAATACAAAACGCAAAAATATAAAAACTACATACAAATACAAGCCAATATACATTGAAGAATATGAACAAGCTCCTTGGAAACAAGGAGTTAGACTACATCACCCCAGCAGGTGAGTGTGAAAAGATGTGTTTTCAACTCATTTTTGGGAGACTGCAGTGTCTGGCTGTTTCTGAGAGCGACAGGAAGGCTGTTCCAGATTCTTGGGCCAGTTAAACTAAATGCTCTAAAATTGTTAGTTTACTGATTTTAGATGTCATAGATGGAAACATATTTTGAGAATTATGGCCTGAATTTATTTACCTTTGTGATAAAAGTTTGTCTGCCTTCTTCTGTAATTGTAAGGTCTCTTCATCAATGGCTAACAATGCTTCTCTTGTGAGCTAAATATACATTTTTGTATGAAGCATATTTTATTCAAAACTA